AAGAGTGAGAGCACCAACAGAAAAATAATGGGTTTGCCATGGGCTGCAGAGGAAGAGCTGTGTTTGAGCAGGATATGCCCAGCCCTGGGTACTCAAGGGAGGTGGACAAAGGCATAGGAAACCCTCTCCTTTAAGCTCCCCTTACAGTCAGCAAAGGCAAATGAGCCTCCTCTGGAAGACAATCTAGAGCACATAAAGGAAGTTCCTCCTTTAAATCCCTGTGTGGCATCTCAGATAGAGTACAGAAAGCTCCTGCAGCCCTTCCTGGTGCTTTCAGTCTCAGTTCTAGGGTACCTGAGCAAACCCATTACAAATGTCTAAATTTCAGTTAACAGAGATGACATGGACTGAAATTAATTTGATATGCTCAGAAATATTTGATATATTTGCCTAAATATCAACATACTGTATATCATAACTTTTCCTATTGTCTTCAGTCATCATTTGTACTAAAACCCACAACCATCTGCATATTGTTAGTTTATTGGGCAAGGGAAAGCACATAGGAAATAGCTGCCACATCTAAAAATATTCTTGCCAATGTAATTAGAAGAAAATTATGCGCTTTTAAAATTTGGGAATGTTAAGGACACATGTTAGCACTAAGAAAGAAAAAAACACTCACCATTTGCTCATACCAGAGAAGCAGTATCACAGGCAAACCATTTAAGCAACAGTCCAAGAGCCTGCCTTCTGATAGAGCTGGACAACTGCACAGAATCTAAAAATGCTCTTCAAACACAAGTGTAATCTACAAACACCAGTGGAGCCTCCTCTGGGAGGCAGCTCAGGCATTCAGCTGGCATCTGTGAGTCATATTTAGCCTGGCCTCTCATGTGAGGGGCCAGAGCAATCCCCTTACAACTCCGGCGTCCCTTTCATTCATTCCTCCTGCCCTTTAGAAGGTGTGGCAGTGTTTCTCTAACCAGCGTTCTATTTTCCAACACGACTCCCAAGTTGCCTGTAACCTTGGCATTAGATAACGAACCCTGGATTTGCTTCAGTTGAAAATCCAAGGCTTCCCAACTCCCTTCTTTGTTCCACACCTCCTGAAAGAGGGTAGAAGTTGGAAAGTTGGATTCTCTCTGCATCCTTCTATGAAATGTGGTATTTGTAACCAATGCCAAAGTAAAGCTTTTTCTAGTGTCTCAGTTGGCTGCAGACATAAAGACATATTTTGTTTAACTACAGTGAGCCACTTCCTGATCTCATTTACACCAGCACGTATCCAAGTCGGTTAGAGAAATCACACTGTGTAAAATCAGTCTTAGAGAGGTCACATTCTGGCTTTGAGTATTCAAATTACTTCTTTGAAATATTTTGCCCTATTAAAATAACTAATGACTGTCTCCTGCTTCAAAACCAAAGACAAATCTTGGTTAGTAGGGAGTGAATGAGAATTTTAAATGGCAATCTAGATAGACAACACCTAAATTCCCCAGGAACATTCTTATTGTAAATGTAGTTCCCTTGTAATCAAGAGATCAACCTTTAAAAACAAATGATCGACATTCAGGCTCAAGTCTGTTGGAGACATTACAGCTTCTCTGGGGCAGCTGCAGTTACAGAATTTCCAAATATACTCTAGATTTTAGAGACATTAACCTGTTTACACATTTTTTGTACATATTTTGAGTAGTTTTATATTCATGGCTAAAAAATATCTGAATTTCATGCTCACAAAAGGTGCCAGCTCGGGTTTTTTCATTGTTTTGGGGTTCAGGGTATTTTTATTTCAAATGGAACAAGTATCTGTAGAGCAAGCAGAGCAATGGCATGAGTATCCCAATGTTGTTGTTCTGCAAGTGTGACCTGAAGTTAACTCTCATAGAATCATCCAGGTTGGAGGAGACCTCTAAGATCATCATGTCCAACCATTAACCTGTGACTCTGCTGTAACCCCTAAACCATATCCTCCAGCACCAGATCCAGACACTTCTTAAACACTTCCAGGGATGGTGACTCCACCACCTCCCTGGGCAACCTATTCCAGTGCCTGAATACGCTGACAGTGAACAATGTCCAGGGGGGAAAGCCTACATCACTTTCAGGCTCCAGTTCTGGACTGGGGTGTAGGTTTGGTAATAAATAGAAGGCAGCATTATATTAGAGGCAGATAGCAGAACAAGTGAAATGAAAATTGTTTGCATTTACACCAAATAATTCCAGCCTATGAAACTCCTGGAAGCTACTGCGAGACAAAAACTATGTTTTAAGTTCCATATGCTTGGGATAGATGTGTCTACACATATATTTAAAATATTTCTATGAGTATTTCTATTGATCTGATTAGTAAGAAACCGAATTCTTCTGCCCATCTTCAGATGTCTGCCCCTCAGCCATAGCACATGGTCTAAACCAGTCTTTAGCTGAGTTTTAGAAATGAAAAATATAATCCTTTTCTGAAATCTTTACACAGGAATAGGGTCAAAGGAAATCCCTGGTACTGAAAGATGACGTAGGATATCTTATACCAGCCTATTTAACAGCTGTTCAAGCTGGCACATTATCATCAGGCAAGAATTAGTATCTTTGTGCATGAAAATCTTTCAGATACTGGAACTGGCTAGCTGAGTGTGTTGGGCCACAGCTGACTCCCACCTATGTGTTTCCCAGTTCCGCAGGTAGGGAGTGCAGCTCTGGATCTGGACTAAGGCTATTTCCTCCAACAAGGGTGCATGCATGTAATATTTCCTGGCTCTAGGAATGGGTACTTTACATCTGGTTATACAAGAATCACTAATGAGCTGAAAGAGGAGGAACAAGTCAAACTTTATATAGAGATGATCTAAAGCAATATTCACTAGGTCACAGCAAGCAGCTTGCAGTTACTTTACAACAACACACTATAAAGTGCCATGTAAGAGCATCCCAATCAACAGCTTATCCTGGGACTTGACAACTGGTGCAAACAGTCCACTGGCTGAAAGGACAGTGGTCCTCAGCTGTTTCCTTCTGCAGTCTTACCAGGCAAGCCCCAACACTCTTGGAGCAAATAGCAAACAATACTGTATATTGGTGACATCTGAACACCCTGCACTGTTTATAAGTGTACCTGAGCTTCTTGTCTGATTCCTTCATATTCCACCCTCATTTTCTTCTGCACGTCCTCATCAACGCTGGGGTCACCTATCCTGCTTAACAAGGAAGCAGCTTCCTCCAGCAGCCTTTCCAGCAGGACTGACTGATTTAAGACATCATTGAGCAGAACCTGAGCATGGCTCAGCTGCCACTGCTTCTCCTTTAAGCCAAGCTGCAATTCAATGTCTGGCTCCAAGGTCACCCTCATGTTGTGAATCCATGCGTAAAACTCATCTTGGGCTTTCAGGTACTCGCTCCAGTGCAGCCAGACCCACTCAATACGACTGTTGGAGAGAGCAAGAGGGATGAGTTAGATGAAATGATGATGGGAGCAATGGAGACTGACAAGCACAAAAGGCCTTCGAAGCAACGAACAAGGTTCTCAGCTATTTTAAGATGCTCTGACTTCCCAGGGTCTGGACTCACTTCCCAGCTCCTCCCTGCTTTGAGGAGGAAATATTTAGTACAACATCCCTGTGCCTGACCAAACTCATTATTCCAGACAATGAGGTGGGTGGGCTGGGCTGTGAAGGCAGAGCACTGAGGTCCCACTGACCCTCTCTCCCCACACAGTCCCTGAAATGCTCATGGGACTGGGATTAGCAGTGATTGCTATCTACAATCGAGGCAGCAGAGACACTGGAAACACTTCATGAAAGCACTGGGTGAGACAACTGCCTCAGCACACCAAAAAGCACATTTGTCTTACCTGTGACAATGAGTGATGTATATGGCTGTCTCTTCCCACAAGGCTTTAATGTCTTTCAGTTTAGATAGCACCTCATGCTTCTTATCCTCACTGATGCTGCGAAGAGCAGCATCTGCCTTCACAAGAATCAAGTCCATTTTCAAGCTGCCTTCTGGTTCCAGTGCACGTATTTTCTATGAGAAAAACAAATGATACCAAAAGCATGAAAAGAAAGCAAACAATTGATGAAATTTAAACTTTGTTATAACCCAGGAATCATGAACTCATAAGCTTGAAAAGACTCTTAAGATCATTGACTCCAGTCCTTAACCTTACACTAAAGAAGGATGGAAATGTTTCTATACAACACTGACAATTAACCCTTCCCACCTAAGTACCTGCTGCAAAGCTTCTCCTGAAAAGAAAATATGAACTTTTCTTCAAACATACTTATTCTTAAAAATCCTAAAGGACTGAATTTACTGGAAAAACCACGTAGCAGTTGAAAACCATTTCAACTAGCTACAAACCCCAGATAATCTTCTGTGAAGTACCTGTGGCTCTGTTTCCATTGCTGTAACAGTTATAGCACTGTGTTGCCACATGCCACCTCTTCTCCCCCACCTGCCAAAGCACATAGGGGCAATCTCCACAGGGGACATTGCAATCACTCTCAATTTTAAGCTCTACTATAAGAAATCATGAAGCATATTAAAAAGGCTTCCAAGTGCAAATGAAAGTTGGCTTAGAAAACAAGCCAAGAGAAATTAACTAGTGGACTTTTCTATCTGCTACCAAATTTTGCTTTGACCCTAAAGTGTGAAGTTATGAAATGGTGAAAATGTGTATCTTACATGAAAGGGAAGGCCAAGAACTGAAAGCTGAGTCATCTCATTTTAAGTAGACTCTTTTTCTCTATACAGAGACGAAAAAATCAGCACAAGTTGTGTATAGTATTAATTATGCCCCAGTTTGGGTGTCAGCTTTCAACATCAGTTTATCCAAGCTTCTGATACCATCAGGCTAACTTGTCTTGCTGTTCTTCCATAAATTCCTGGCAAACTGCAGGTTTTTGAGTTTGAAGAAAAAGGCTTCTATAATGAAAATACCAAGAGGTTCAAAATCAGGGACTACTTTTGGAAAGATTAGGTTATAAAAAGATAATGTCAGTTATTGCAAAGGTAAGACCATATCACAGGCTTTTGGATTTCCAGACTCCTGTTCCGAGGAAAGACTGATCTTTTGGCATGCACACAGCACACCTGCATGTGATGTACAAACAGGTGTTTGGACAAATTACCTACTATGAAAAGTGTGATTAAAAGAATCCAGGAAAGCAGGGAAAAGGGCAGTGCAAACAAGGAAAATACAAGCCATAGGTGTCCTGACAGGAAAAAATTTAAGAGTAAAGCTGTATCCTAAGCCTGACATTTTTCCAGCAGTTGAAAGCAAACAACGGCCAGAGAAAAAGCAGTGGCTGTACAGTCATTTTTCTTTTTCAACTCTGCTTTTTCATGACTGCTATCTTTGGCTGACATTTTCAGTAACAAATTAACAGAAAATAAACCACAGGAAGGAAGCATGAAAAAAACCTGGCTAGCCAGATGCAAAAAAAAAGGAACGGAAAACTGATCACCGGATTTGAAAACAGCCAATAGGTGAAGCAGTAAGCACATCACAAGGACACCCAAACTGGAGAGAGAAACCAGACCCAGAAAGGAGGCAGGATGAGGGAGCAAGAGGTGGTTCAGGTACACACAGGAAGACAGAACAGACACTTGTTATACTTCAGAAGGATGAATTTTGAAAGTCTGAATTGAAAAAAATCTCCTAACATGACTCCAAAGCCCACAGAAGTCAACAGGCTTCAGTTCAGGCCATGTTAAATCACCACAAACCTCGAGACATTTCATCTTATTATCTCTGCCATGAATGTACCCTTATTGCTGAGCTACCACTCTTCTACTCATGTTCCTGTGTTTCTTGTGTGTTTCTTTGAGACTGTACATAACAGTTTCCCAGACAAAAGGAAAGGGTGAAAACAATTTAAGGGCAGAAAAATAAAACTATAGACCAAGAGAAAATGTTTCAGATTTTCATGACTGACATGCAAGTCTAGCCACCACCCATCACTTCATGCAGTCTCTATATTATGCCAGAGTCAAGATCCATCCTTCAATAAACTACAGTTAAGGAAAAAGGCTGAAGACATGACTGTGCCATCAACCATCTCATCCTCCATGTAAGCCTGCTTCAGAAGGGGCAGGTCAAACAGGGCTAGACACACAGGAAGAGAAACTTTTGGGCAAATAACAATGGGAAAGATTTGGCCATTTAAAGAGCAGACTAGTTGGAATTAAAGGTAATACAAGTATAAAAATAGTTTCAATGTTAATCATAGAAATGTCACCACTCCCTTTAATCACGAATGGTATAGAGATGGGACAAACAGGAGTGTTTCATTCTCTGAGATTACAAGACCCAGATAGCATCTAATGAAACTGAAGTTAATGAATGTGAAGTCACAGTAAAGGGAGCGGGAACAATCTGCAACAGGATCTCTGCGAGAAGAGTTATAAAAGAGATTAAGTAAAACCAGAAAAAAAATGGAAACATTTAGCTTTTGATTAGACAGATGATAAACCCTGTTATCATCAGGGTTTATGGAAAGGGACAAATGGGCTCTAGAACAGCTCATTACCAGGACACTGCAATCTTTCTCTGTCAGTGCCAGAGTCCTGGAGGAGATGGAACACTAGCATGATCTGATTCTCTTAGACTATATGCTGGTCTTCTGCAAATTGCTATGGTAATTGCCAGCAGCAATGGAATTGTTTCAGGTTTGAGCATGCTCCTAGGAGAGTGTAAACATTTTAGCTTGCCAAACCTGCTGCAAGTCTTCCAAATCCATCTGAAAAGCTTGGAAGCCTGTGAGATCGAATTGCCATCCCTTTTTCTAAATCTTAAAACATTTTGCTGATGGAAAAATTAGAAAGGATACTGATGTGAACCCATCCACATGGAACCAATCCTCCAACAAGCAGGAGAACATGACCATTTCCCCATGGAAGACTCCAAAGCTCACAGCAATAACTGCTGCAATGATGGTAGCAGTGACAGCCACCTGTGAGTGGCTACATCACTCTTGCCTTACCTCAGTCTCTCTCAGTCTGGCTTCTAGGGCAGATCGAGGTCCATTGGTGTTGTCATTGATCCTCAGTCTCTCTTGGATGGCCTTCATCCAAGCTTCTGCATTCTCCACGCTACTGTCAAATTCATCCTGTAGCTGCTGAGTCATCTCATTTGAAGAAGCTGAAAGGATAAGAAACAGGGAGCTAAGTAGGTTTTGGTTAAGACCTAAACAGGAATGCAAGGCAGACTATAGAAGCTTGGGGGAAAGCTAATGATGTTGTGGCTTTGCTTGTTAACAATAATACCAAAAAATGCAGTATCACTGTTCAGTTGAGCACAGAGAGCACTTTCACACTGCAGCTTTCCCAAACGAAAATATATCAGGAAACAAAAAGAAGGTGGGGAACTGTGGGAGTCTCCATTACAGTAAACAGATTTAATTCAAAGCTTTCAAATGAGATTAATTTGGTGTTTGTGGTGTATTCCAGATTGGCTGCACCAAACACAAACACCTTCTGTTTTTTTCACAGAGCCTAGTCAGTGTAAAACTCCTTATGCCCTTCCAGGCTCATGTACTGAGCACCTGACACCAGACTAACAAAGCACTTCAGCACATGCTTAACTTAGAGGTGTATAAACCCTTTAAGTCTGCTGAGAACAGGATCAGATGCTTAGGCCCTCAGTTAACTTCCTCTGCTGAGACCATGCAGAGATTACCTGAATGCACGTGCAG